TACTATCTCCCTACTCTACAAGATGTACCTGAATGGCAGTCCAACCGTATGAATATGTGGGCAATAACATTAAGCATCTGTCCAACCTGTGCTTTAGACCCCAGCTACCTGTGTATATTAAACAGAATACCATAGGCAAGGAAAAAAAACTGTCGCATGAGAGCATTTGAAGCTGTCACATACCTTCAGATGGTGAATGTCATTTTGAACCAGCGCAGCTCAATGTACAAGTACCGCGACAAAAAGAAGGAAAGTGCAGTTGAAGCAGAGCATATTACCTTCAGAGGCTGATTTTTGAGACCTTTCCTGCATGAACATCATCAACAGTAAGAGACTTCACTTGATACACAAGTGCAAGAGCACATTTGTGCTGGCGGTGTGTAGCCGAGAGACGAACTTCCACCCGCTGGTCACACACGCACTGGGAGGTAAGGAAACCTGTTAGCACGCATGGCCAAACACTCCCATACGCTTCCATCTCCACTCAGCCTTGCTCTCCGGACTATTTTTGTGTCTTCCTGCGCACCACCAAACCACCATTGCTATCACCCACCTCCCCCTCAACCGATTCACCCCACCTCGCTTTTGTGCACCATTTTCAAGCAAAAACCCACACTCCCAGTTTCTGCACCCAGCCAGTGTAGATGGGCAAGCTGAGCTTAATCTGGCTGAGGGTTTTCTGACCCTAGAAGGAGCGTCTTTTGGTGTTCGAGTTCAGTGGCCATGCGGACGTTGGGGCAGGTCAGCATGATGAGCATGGCGGTGGGCGATCATGATGATTGCTCTGCCACCGATCAGCAGCGTATCGAAGTTACAGCAGGCGAAATCGCTGATGGAGAAAAACGAAACAGAGAGTTTACCTCCACTATGTAGGGACATTAGCGGCAGGCATCGAATACAGGCCAGAGCTTTGCCACCAGGAGAGCCACCCACACATGCTTGCTTTTTTTCTAGTCTCCTGACAGTTAGGGGATGGGCACGAATAATATAGGGGTGTGGGTGCAGATAAAGGCGACTCTTGAACATTAATGATCTGTTATAATAGATGTGACAATGCTTGATTAGTTATGGGCGCCAAGTAATAACGAGTTTCAATATTAATCTAATGCACGAATGGCCCTGAGGGGGGCTTTATGCTGGCTATTAACAGCGCAGAAGCTAGTGTGTGTTGACATTTTGCTGAAATACAATAAAGGATTTGAAGAGCTGTTGTGTTTGTGTTGTTAAACAACTGATCGTAAAGATCACATTTGGTCAGTCCCACCGAGCTATTTTGGAACATTAGCGGGCTTCCATGGTTTGGCTTCCCAACTAAATCTCGGCCTTTCTTACCCCTCCCAGGTTGTGCATAACCCCTACAGGCTATGAACTTCTTTTTAAAAAAACACCAAATGTGAAATTACCCCGCGTATCCGGTACTCGGCTCCCCGAGAAAAAAGCCCCGAATAACACGAAGAGTACTACCCGCCCGCTGCAGCAGCTTGCAAAATGTTTTTAAACCTCCAGGAAGACATCATAGAGGAAATCAACTCGATTACCCCGCAAAAATGATCCCAGTATGTCTTTTCTGTCTCTCTCATATACCCGAGTACCTGCCAGATTAGATTAGCTGCACAAACAATAGTTGTGAGAACTGCTCAGTGTAGTGTCTTAAAAATGTAGGATGCAGTTTGTTGTGAGGAAGCCATTTGTCAGGGCAGGTGCAAGATCAATTTAAGACCATTTAATTCTAATTAGCAACCACTTTTTAAATCAGCATACTCCAATCTACTAGCAGCTGCTATTCAGTGAGCTTGTCTAAGTGGTAACCTGTGTAGGTGGCAGCAACAAATGACAAGAAACAAATCTGAAGTTACAATGCAATAGAAGCTCCTAAGATCATCTCTTCAGAGCCGAATTTCACTACATACCCCACTGATTATTGACAGGATCGCCCGTCTTGTGTTGCCACACGGTACACCCTTTGACTTATAAGCTAAAGAGTATTAAACTGGCAGCTTTCTGAATGGAGTTTTGGCACCACACAGCAGAGAGCACAGCCAGGGGGTGAAGTGTTACCTGAACAGTATCCGCAGGATGTTTGCCACCAGGAGGACCAGGCACACGTAGGTGGAGAAGCCCTCTGCATTCTGGGTCCGGCGGATGTCCCTGTACTGGGGGATGTAAGGGACCAGCCCACCAAACACCATGGCACCAGCAGCGACCCACGACACCAGGCTGTTAAACACGGCCACGATCTGCTCCAACAGCTCATCGTCCATGTTTCCGCTGCTCAGACAGTCGGAGAAGTTGTGGAGTGATGTCAGCTGGCTTTCACCGGCTCGACGGAGACAACAACGCGCTGTTTACCCCCCGCTGGTTCCTGGTACCGACTTTGACCGTGTAAAAAGAGTAACATCCGCGTTTCTCGTGCATAGTCCTCACACAGACAAAGAGCCAGCTGAGTGCCACGCCATCACAAGCCGAGCGGTGGATCAGAAACGACGGGGGGGGGTGTAACGTTTCGGTAACAGCTGAGGACAACAGTGCAGACAGTGAGGACATCAATGTGTCCGCTACTGTACCGACAGGACAACGACGCTTACCACAGACAGTGGGGGGGGGTCGGCGGGAGCTGCGGGTCACTTCTGTTGATGCTAGCTGGCGTTGTTTTGGAAGGTAAAGTCAGGAGAGAAAACTCCCCGGGTTCCTGTTACAGTGTAAACAGCTCTTGTAACTGGAAGGGGACTTCACACAGAGCAGCGTCTCCCTGTGCAGGGGCCCTGGGCCCTTTATTACAGTAGTTAGTTCAGTAAGTGGCCCAGAGTCTGTTTCCCTGTTCAACGGACGAGCCCACACTTCCTGAAACGTCACACGTCACGCGTTGAGACAAAGATGGTGGTTCAGTCAAGATAGTTCACCCACGACCTAAAAACACTAACGCTACCGTGTGAGTGGCTGTGGACAGGTAGGATCTGAGGAGTACGGGTATACGTGGTTATTTATTATGCTTTGTCCTTTTAATTATAATTATATAACCTACGATAACATTGAATGTGGGCTTCTTGTTGGCCAGCTAATCTGTCAGCTTCTGAATGCAGTGCACATTTTAATGGAAGACATTTTGACATAGCAGGAA